AAAATTAGTCATAAAGAACAGTTAATCCTCAATGCATAATCATTTTTTTAATAATTATAATTTACCATTCTTATTCATCAGTACTAAAGAGAAGCAAATATAAGCGACAAACAGGCTCATGATTAGATTCATAAAGAGAATGAAGGACGTCGAGGATGCTAAGAAGAGGTACCATGCGCCGCTGTGACGGTCTTGCAACACATCGAATTGTTTTCGCATCATCTTCTCGATTTCATTGCCGCTGCTTCTGATCGTCGACAGACCGTTCAACGTCTCATTTACGTGTGAAAACAATGGACTCTTTGCTGAAAACACAAATTTGAAAACACCTGAAATTTATAGATCCTACATTCTGAGAGAATTAGTAGGGATTTAATAGTCTGAATTCGATGGCGTGAGTTAAACGATTCAGAAATTGAGTATGTAAGACATTTTTTTCTGATATAGAGACGATTTATTGTAATACTTACTTATGCCGTCGAGACGTTTCATATTCTGAACGATTTTTAGGTAGAACTTCGTCACGAAGAAAAATAGGACAACTACAAACACTGTCGGTATCAGCATCCATTGATTAATTATAATCTCTATTACAATTACACCGCAAATTGAGAGAAATATCTGAATCGTTTCTAACGTCTTTTTGGGCAGCAACTCGTCCATGGCACTCACGTCCTTTGAAAATCTGTTTAAAATTCTTCCTAAAAAATATGAAAATCACGAATCTAAGCAACAGAAGTATCTAATAAGACTTACTGCGCACACACTATTCAAATATACTTGACGACATAAGTTTAATTGTATTAGTAATCACTTTATTAAGCATTGTAGAAAACAATGATACAAGACTTTGCGAATCATTGTAAGTTTATTACAAAGAATAACAATATATAAATAATGGACGCTTTTTAAGATACACTCTGTATATATTCTAAACACTTTTGAATAGTCAACTAAAAAATTTAAATTTGTATTTAAAAAATCTAAAAAAAATTTTTTTTAAAGTTTTTAAAGTGTACAAAAATTTTGAAAAATTTCAAAACATAATATATAAAATTCTAACAATAAAATAAATTTTCACCAATGTATTTTTCCAAATCTCTCTTAAGCCAACAATTTTTTTTGCCGATCGGTATCTCGCGAGTGTTGCTCACCGGAGGAATTGGTGTGGAAAAAAGACATGCGCGCCTGCAGCAGATTGGAGAACATGGTGTTGTGAAGATTGCAGCTTGAGGTCATGCAGACCTTCATGAAGAAGAAACTGCAAATCAGTGTGATAGCCGTGCAGGCGATGATGCAGAACGTGTATACATATATGGCATCCATAGTGCTGAGCAGGCCGTCTGGATTTAATGTGAAGATTGATCCAAGAAAGCTGTTATTGTACATGTTCTCGAACTGTTTGGTGCCATTAATATTTCCGGTACGCCTGATTTCTTCCAAAGTAGTCCAATATGAGGTCCAGTAATCATTTCCGGTGATGGCGACCTGACTGATGACAAAGATCAGCAGCAGCATAAATAAAGTAAAATAGTTGCCGCCGTGATGCAGAT